ACAAACAAACAAACAATTCTCAATGAAATAATGCAATTTTAGATCACAGTAAAATTATAAATCATATTTCATATTCATTTTAAAAAGGATCTATCTAGAAAAAACAACAAAACAAATAACAGTAACAGCATATTTTATGTTGTTGTTTTTTGTTCGTTAAAGGTCCATTAGAATTGACATAATTAAATTTAAAGCTAGTTTCTCAGTAACACTCTCTAAGCTATTTTACAAATAACAAATCACCAGTTATCATTTCTCTTGTTATTAATTTCCCCAGAAAAGTTGCAGCATTTTGCAAGAAATAGTTAAATTGAATATGATATATTAAGATGTTTTACAGTGACATGTACTACATAAGCTATACACTTGAGAAGATGCCCGAATGATTTAAATAAATTACAAAGTATCATATTTTCTGATTGTTCACTCACTTTTAATGTAATTCTGTGTAATATGTTATCTCTATGTAATTATTTCTATGTCAAACACTCAGATGTAACGTATATTGAGAAGCTTTAAACTGCATTTTAAAAGCTTGATTTTATTTGTGAAAGGACTGTTCTGAAATAAATAAATTTTTTCACTTATTCTGGATAAGAGTAAATTGTGACTGAGAAATTATAATTTAAATAGATTGTGGTATGTAGACATACTATGTGTTTTCTATCCCTTACCTAATATAAAACTTTTCATATTCTCCATACAAACAGTGTAGTTTCAAAACAGAACATTAGTCAAGAAAGTCGCTAAGTTCTTTCGCCCAAGCTACGTATTGTTACGTCTCCGTTCGTTAGTTAATTTTCCGTAAATTCGTTCCGACGAAACTTTAGCGACACAAGTCCTTTCTTAAATAAAACTGGTTTATTCTTTCTGAATATAACTTTGCGATACACTTAATTTCAACAGTCACGCTATAACAAACGTCTCACGAGCTCGACTTCAACAATACTCCGTTCAATTACACACTCTCTGACTGCAGTTTAATTACTCATTACTACCTCGTCACCTTGTGAACATCTTATATATACCAGACTACCCCCAATCTAGTAGTCTCCCGATAATTCACGAAGATTTGAGAGAAGGACGTGGCGTGATACTAGTCACGTGACCTCGTTGACGCAACAATATGTTTTCTCAGTCTAGAACCGTTCTTCGTATAGTTTTCCACCAATTTCCAGCAAATATTTCTGATAGCTCTCAAATCTCCAATATAGGTGCTATCCTAAGTGAGTACATTCATTTTGATTGTTTAAGTGTTGAACAAAGATTGTTTTCACTGTGTTTTGCATTGTATCTTTTCTCTTTTATTCTTCACAACTAAGTGTAGGTCAGAGACTACAATTTAACTCTGCATAACATTTTCTGCTAAACACACACGATTATCCGAAGGAAAATCAATAAACATGAGAATATTTGAATATAAAGAGATGCAATGTCCTAAATTAGGGATGCGCGTTTAGGGCAATGGTATATGAACCAATTGAGCCTCAGATTCACAATCTGGGCACACGAAACACTAATTCACATGAAACACCTTTTCTGAGAGCTTAAGATCAGTTACTTCTACGTTATCATCTCGTTAAGCTTTTTTGTGTGAAATAACTTGTTAAAATGTTTATAAAATTATTTTTTGTATTTTGATGCATATACAAATTTACAAAAGTTAAAGGAAGTTTTATGTAAAATCACAAGATACACTGATACAGGATAATGAACCTTCCTTAAGTGGTGTTTTTTCAAACTTATTCTAGCACTGAAGTAGAAAATAATAGTTATTATTCAAGTATTTTCACTTTCTTTAATTGAATCTTAAAAGAGTAATGATACTCGAAGTGTCTACATTTTTACGTGTAAATGAAATATTTAGGGAAACAAAATAAGCGTGTTTTTAGGGATAAACATTTTGTATATGCACATTTTCTGTTATTGCACCTTCGGGAGCAATTTTATCATTAAAATCCTTAAAATAAGAAAAATGTTAATTTGGAGAAGTATAAAAGAAATTTTTGATTATCAAAGTACAACACTTTGTTGCGATAAAAAAGATAATGATATAAATATGTATGTCAGAAAAATAATAATAAAAATGAAATAAATGTCGTTCTCCTCTAGATGGTGCCACAATGAAACATTCTTTTCTTTTCCGTGTTAAGGAAGGAAGATGGTGAGTAGTGTACGCTGATGATTTTTGGAAATCAAAAGTCATCAGCTTTGATGTCAATTTAATGATATATTTTGTAAATTGGAAAGACTAAGTTAGTTTTGCATATTTGTTTAAATGTGTTATTACGGGTATCGTTAACAAATATTTAAATTTTTGACATTTTCTTCCTTATGTAGTTGAAACTTGTTTAGGTTAAATTAGGCTTAAAGTACTAGTTTTAATGATGTGCACATTGACTTAACTGTTAAATTATTTAGAATCTCATTTAGCATACGTGATTGGACACTTAAGTGGTTATGTTTTACATTTATAATAGTTAAAGTAAACCTGGTAATGGCGATGTCTTGTGTCCGAATCAGCTAATTTAAAAAAAAATGGTTTACAGACTATTGCAAATCATGTCTGAGCAGTTCACAAAAGCAGTTCATGCTTAAAGTACGAAGTAGTGATTTTTATCGTATGGTATAAATAGTGCTATTTAATTTTTTCTTTTATTTATACTGTGTAAAGGATCTGAATATTTTGATAAGCATTCTGGATCACACAGATGTATTGCTCATGTGAACTTTCTACTTACTACTGTTGTTGTGCAAACCAGCGTTCACCATTATAGGGTTGATATCCATTTATTTATCGGGAAACTTATTTGTTGACCTTCCTGGCTTTGGAGATATTCATGGACTATAGAAGTAAGGATTCTCAGAGAATTATAGTTCCTGGCCACAGAAGTGTGAATATATAAACAAAATACCAATTACACAGACCTGCGAATTTAAAGTTAATAAAGTGGTTTTGGGTTTAATTACAGATTTTCCATAATTCAGCTATGCAGATTTCAAAAATAATATTCATTTTTTGCTATCACGTAAGGACTTTTTACAAATCGGGAAGAAGAAAAACTTACTTAGATCAAAATATTTTGTTTACTACAATGAACATTTTTTTATTATGTTTGTTAACAAAAATACAAACAAGATAAAGAAAAGGGGAGAACATTGATGTCAAACAAACATGCATCCTCATTCATCCTGATTTTTTTTGTGAAATCTATGTATTGTGTCTGGACCATCTCGTTTCAATGACCAGTAATAATCAGTTATCATGTTGATGTTCCACCTTTCGTGATACCTTTCCATTTCCCTAATACCTTGATGAAACTTCCCCTTGTTCTTTGCTTATAGCTCTGAGAATTTCAGAGAAATAGCCAATATGCGAGTATAAAAAATGAACTTTTAAGCTCATATTACAACCTAAATCTTTTAATTTATTGAGTATATTATTGACAATATTTTCATAATTTGGGTCCTTGTTGTTTCCTAAAAATTTGTCAATAACATCTTTAAAGGCAATCCATGCTGTAACTTTCACCATTGTTCATTCGAACTGTTGATCTGAAGTAAATTTCCTAATCTGAGGCCCAACAAAAAACCCTTTAAAGTTTTGCTTCTGAAAGAGCTGGGAATTGCCCACATAAATACTTTTGGAAGGCCCAAATCATTCACCTTGTGTGAAAAGTTGTGGTTCATCAGACTTTACAGGTTAAAAACAATCTCTATCATCATTTTTTCTATTGACTTCAGAATCAGATGAAATTGTATCAAGAGTCTCCAGTGGAGTAGGTATAGGTACATCAGGTCCATGAGCAACAGGTCTTATAGCAGGTTTGGATAAGAAATTTGCTTTTTATTTAGTGTGGTAGCCTTGCATGTTACATGACCTAAAATAGCAGTTACTGTGTGGTTTCTAGGCGTATGTCAGACCATTGGAATTCCAAAAGGTAAAGACTTTCTTACCTTTAGTCCATTGTCTGAACTCTTTGACACAAACAGTGCAAACGTTGTGCAGAGCCCTCGTTTTGTCTTTGTCCCCAAGTTTTATTCTAAAATATGCGTAATACAAATTCTGTAATGTTTTGTCTTTGTTTCTTTACAACAAATATCACAGAATATGTTTGGGTCACTTACACAACATCTTGTTGCCATAGAGATGAATAAATAATATTGAAAAGAAAAAAATGTCAAAGTGCATGCATAAACAAATACTATCCAGAAATGACACTGCAGGTTATCTGTTTATACTCCAGCAGTGTAATTCTTGTGGGTTCTATAATGATCGATAAGACTTTCATGATGCAATTGGTCTAGTCTAGAGAAATCTATAGCCAGCAGTTGTCAATATTTTAAGCATAACAAAATATGACCCGATTTCAATGAAAATTATTCACTTGTGTTAAAGTACATATGATGTTTTGTGAAATACCTATACATGTTGGAGTCAAATGGAATTACTGTAGAACATGAAAAAATTTCAAGACAAACTGTCGAGGTCTATGTTATTATATACCACACAACAAACGAACTATTACATGCCAAGGTCTATGTTATTATATTGTCGAGGTCTATGTTATTATATACCACACAACAAACGAACTATTACATGCCAAGTTTGCATGGCTTATTTCAAGGCAACTGTACTCTCACTAGTTGAAAATTGGCTTTAAAAAATCGTAATGATTGCTACATTTTTCTTCTGCCATTTGGCAGCAAGCAAATGTTAAAAGAAAAACAATGTTGTTTCAAATTGGCTGGACCAGTAAGGATCAGTGGGCAGTTTCATTTGATCCAGAAGCATTTTCTATTTGAAAATACACAAACAAAACTTTACAATGACTTGTGATTCTTTGTAGCCATTGAATTTGTAGAAACAAGGCCATACAATAAACTTTGTGGTGCACATTACATTATTCGTAAACTAATATATAGATATGTCTGCCCAATTTGAATTGAGAGCATATCAAAAAATGATTAATTGGAAAGTTAAGCAGACCACACATTGGCTTGACAACATTTTGTTATACATCATGTTGTAGTTTAGTTTACTTTAAAACCAATGAGAATACACCATTTCTCCTTTACTTTTATAGGTACATATGTAAGTTCATAGGTCATTTTCAACATTTGGTTGTTTACAATTTTCACTCCATTTATCAATATATGTATTCATGCATATGGGTGTTCAGTTGAAGTATTGTATTAGGACTACATAGTGTCTCGCTTTGTCATAGGTTTCACTCAGTGTCTCAGGTTAGCCGGTAAAGTCATCAATCACAGTCATTTTGTTAGCATTGTCCCATTGAGATAGTTATGTGGTGCAAAAGGTCAATTTACAGGTATAATTATTAATTATTTTTCATTAATTATTAAATATATACTTGCAGTGGCAGTGTACATCTACTAATTTTAAACTGCAGAATCCAATAGCATTTTTTTTTTCACTGTATAAAAATCAACGAAACACCCTAATAAAAGCCATGTCTGTGGGAACATGGATGCTGTCATTACCACCTAGCCACTTCCTTACATAGCCTGATACCAAATATGAATTAATATTGACCTTGTGAAAGGGAAAATTGTTATTCAACTTTTTTCAGTAAAGTAATTTGAGATTTTTGAAGGATTCTTTAAATTGTTTGAAGAATACAAGACCAGCTATATTTGGATATTTTAAATTGTTTTCTAATGGATTTCCTTGCAATTACATAACTTCTTTATTTAAGTAATTTAATGTTACATATTAAATCTACTTAAAACAAAAATACCTAACCTACATATTGAGTTATTTTAGTATTGTGAATTACATAAATATACATAAACTTCATGTTATTTTGTGAGATTGAAAAGTTCTGACTAAATATCCACAAAACAATAGTGAAGCCTGTGTGTGTATGACCTTTTATGCTAGTAGACAAGTTCTTGTTTTAATTCAGTTGCTTATTTAAGGTGATTTTGCTAAAGTGAGTTAGCCCATGTGCTAGACTAAAAGGGACCTTATGAAGATAAATGCTTAGACTTGTGTTGAACTATGTAAGGTTAAGATAGTTGTATTGTAAAGTAACTGTGTCAATCAGTTGACAACTACACCATGGTAAACATTGACTTAGCATAACTTTTGGTAAAGTTAAATTAGGTTTATCTGCTGCATTGCTTCAATAAAATGTACAGAATGCCTAGTGTCCAAAACAGAAGTGTAATGATAGAATAAGTATGAAACATGAAAGGGGCACCAGTGTCTTGTACACTTCCTTCTTTTCAAGATGTATGTTTATTTACTCAATTTTATGTTGAAGAGACTGATTGTTAATCTGCTTGGACAGATGACTTGATCTGTTTTGTTCAAGTCGGCTGCAGTTCTTATGATTGGATTGCAATAGGGTGCTTTTGCAATGCGTGCTTACTGTTTGTAAGTATATCAGTATTGCAAATAGCATCAAATGCATGTGCATAACATGCATTTGAAATATAAAAACAATGTTACTGTTCTAAATAATGCATATGAATGTTTTATTTCATCTCTGTGGATTACCTGTAGAATAAAAGGGTAGAATAATTGCTGTTGAAGATTTGAACCTTCATTTGGTAAGGTGCTCTGATCCTTTAAGGTCAAACTATGTCTTTCATTACAGACTTATAGTCTACACTATCTGCAAGATATCTACCTTGAAAATGCTGATTTAACAACAAACGAGTTATGTGTATTAATGTTTGAGTCTCGTGTTTGAACAGGCAAGTATAGCATGATGGCAGGATAGGTCTAGGTTGAATGGATCAGTGAGCTTAGTCACAAACCATTAAAATTGCCTTGTTACTGGTATGATGAATCAGCACCTTAAATATATTTTACTCACACAAACATTGTGTGTAATATTTATACAAACTATGTTTCTGTTCAGATAAACTTTGTATGAAGCTTACTATTTAATTAATAACATATACCCCAAATATTCCTTGCTATGTCAAAATAGAATGGACTGTTCCAACCACTTACATTGACACATCCCCTGGTGGGACAGTGGTAAGTCTACGGACTTGTAACACTTAAAATCTGGGATTTGATCCCCATAGTGGATACAGCTGATAGCCCAATGTGGTTTTGCTCTAAAACAAATACTTTGTCATACAAGATTCACAGGCTGTTACTGTGGATGCATGTCTAGATCAAACTTGACGTGTTTTTAGACCTTAAATGAAATTTTGTTTGCTACAATATGTAATATTAATTTTTAGTGTTTAAGACTTTTCTTAAACTTGAAAGTAAGTGGTGTAAGGGAAACCAATATGATTGAAGTTAGTCATGTTAATCCAATTCCAGAGGGATTTGATTTAAGGTTGATGAACTATTTAATGTAAGAATTAATACCAAATTAGCTTGTTACGTATGGTGCTAAATAGAATCAGTATTTACCCATTGCAAAATGCTTGATTATATTCAAAGGTTTTTTAAGTAACTAAGCATAACATAAAGGTGTTTTTTAACTTTTGTAGAACACTTGGTTTGATGTATAGATAAGAATATAAATAAAGTAAAATATTGGAAATTAATATATCCTTGTTTCTTCCTAAAGGTGAATGTACCAAAAACCAGGCGTACTTTTTGTAAGGGCAAGTGCAAAAAGCATACTGTCCATAAAGTAACCCAATACAAAAAGGGAAAGGATTCAATCTATGCACAAGGTAAGTAGATTTTGGTTTCAGTAACATTTGCCAACACATAAAGACTAATTTAGAGCATTGTCGATGGACAAATGGTATAGAAAATCATGAGTTAAAGTATGTTTTTTATAAAAGAAAATAATAATAAATGATTGAAGCTAGAGGTTCTAAGAAAAAACTGAAATAATTCTTGAAATTCAGGAAATATTCTTGAACTTTTTCTCCTGAAATTGGAATATTGGAAAACAAAGGATTATGGATCATGTGGAGGTACCAAGACCATTCATAAAGAAACCTGTAACAACTTGAACCACAGTCATGACATACAAAGTGTGGTGTCTTTTAATAGGTGAGAATTTATGAATGCAAAGTTCAGTGGCAAAACCCATCTACATGTCTAAAGCTAACAAGTATGCAGCATTATCCAGAAGGGCTCCCATCTGTAAAAGGTATACAAATTGCTTACACAGCATCTCTTCAATTTTCACATACCGCAAGTAACTGGAAGAGGGAAATAGTATTTATGAAATATTCCATGTGGAAATAAAATTGCTGCATGCAGGACCTATGGGAGAGTGTATATGATTGAACTGCTGAAACTAGAGTTAGAAAAGCATTGTCCTTGTACACCATATGTATTTTGAAAAGTATGCTGGGAAGAGTGGTGTGCTTTGAACATGACAGCCTTAAAACACGGCCTTTTGTAGTAGAAACTTGTGCAGGGCTGTTGTCAAGATGCATGGGTATCCAATAAAGCATGGCTGAATGTGACAACTTGATCTGTAATGAAGTGATGAGACTCAAATTGTTTTAATATAATGTATTGAACCTAACTATTTAGCTGATATTAAAAAAGAAAGCAATTGCATTATCTGGATAGTTTGTCAAGAAAAGGAATTTTAATAAATTATCTAAAATATCAAATTTTTTTTGTTTAGGTAAACGTCGTTATGACAGGAAACAGCAGGGTTATGGTGGACAGACAAAGCCTATTTTTAGAAAAAAGGTGAGATTTCTAACTAAGAAAAGTCAAAATTAATTGCATCAAGAAGTATAATATTTAACATAAATTACTTATTATAATATTGTCATCACTCAAGCAGAGCATAATATTCATAGCCTTCAATTTTATTTGGTTACAGAGCCATGAAATAGACAACCAGATCCATCTGTCACATCCTGTGTTTCAGAAATTGCCAATAGTTTTCTCTGACATTCAATACTATATTATTTATAACCAATAGAAAAACAAGATTTTCTTCTGTCAAATGATGTATTATGTTACATTGTTTTCTGTAAAAAGAATTGTCAATTTCACTTTCAGTTCAAACTTGTTTCCCATCAGAAACACATCAATGAGCTTAGATGAAGTTTTAACAGCTCTTGTTGCATAGTTAGAAAGCCAAAAAAATTGTAATAGTTATGGGACATTGTCTGATTTTTATATGTTATTATTCAGTGTTCTTTGGTGCATTATGTAATTAAACAATTTAGTGCAGTACTTCCATTAGTATAAAAAGGTAGGGTTAAGTTACATCTTCATTCAAAAGTAAAAACAAAAAGACCCAGGTAATTATTTTTTTCTTGTTATTTATGTATATTCCTTATATATTATAAAAGTAACTAAAATATAACAATAGGAAACTTGTGTTAGTTAAGGTTAGATTGGGTGAAATACATAATATGTTTTCATGAGTTACGTTCGCTCGTGTATAATGTAATTTGATAGTGTAACATGAGTTGCATACTTGCCAAGTGATTTCTAGCTTACAATTTTTGGCTGCGATGGTCAGTCAAATGGGTCAATCTTGTATAAAGTTAAGGCAGACTAAATAACAGATAAGATGTGAAGTGTTAATGGAAAAAAAGTTGAAATTTATTTAGGTTTTAGTAATTATACAGATAAAACTTGAGGTTTCTGAGGTGAAGAAAAGTGTTATTAATCTTAATGGGGAAATCACTTATCACACCAACTAGTACATAGAAACACTATATATATTCATGGACAAGTCTTTAGTAAAAATACTTCATTAAAAAACCTGATTTTATGGGTATGAAAGACTTGTGATGTTTACCAAAAGTCTGGCAAATTTTGTGAAGATATACAAAGTTTATTATAAGTTATAGCAAGGAAATGTAAACAAATACAAAATTGACCAATCTCATAGCAAGAGAGTAAATTGAATTTGAAGGTAAAGATAACTATTAATACTGTCATGTAATGAAAAGTAACCTACTGTCTTAATACAACTCCTGCTGACAGTTGTCAAGTCATGAAATGTACAGTGTATTCTTTAATGTGAAACAATTACATTTATAGAATTTACAGTGTTTAGCCTGACTTGTGTTGTTGGAATCTGTTGTCAGGGGTCACTTAGAACAAGCATTTTGAAGGTTGGAAGCTGACTAAACCCTCAGCATAGCTATAGAAGGGGTTTTCTTATCTATTATTTGATGACGATTTTTTCATTAGACTATTGCTTGTCTATATGAGGTATTCCTGATGTTGTATATCTAGACTTCCAGAAGATCTTGTAAGGTTCATCATGAGGATTGATTAGTAAGTTAGGTTTTTATGGAATTTGAGTAAATCTCCAAAGGTTGGTTAATAAGAAGGAATCCTCAGTAGCCATGGCACTTGAAATTTGTTTAGGCAGGATTAAAGTAAATTAATCTGTGAGACCTTTTACCTTTTTGTGCTCCAGCAATACCAAGTGTGGGATGCGTGTACACCGATTTGATTTTATTACTCATCAGGATCTCTACCAGTCCACCCACAAATTGAAATTCTTTTAGGTGGCATTAGAATAAATTAATGTTTGAGACCTTGGGCATAGTAAATTACATCAATTCAAAGTGTTTAACCTCCTGAGTTAAAAACTGTAAGTATGTCTTAAATCAGTCAAGAGGTGGCGGAGCTTTGCGATAAAAGTTTGTACTTGGGAAAAACTCTGAGCCACTCTGCCATGGCTTAAAATTTTCTTAACTCAATATGATCAACATTGGTGCTTTGCACCAACCCAGTTTCTATGAAGCTATAAATAGCAATATTTACTATGATTCTGAATTTATTTCTTCTACTTTAATACTAAGTGTATAAATATCAGCAATGTAGAATAAAAAAAGTTGAAAAATATATAATACATCTAAATTATATTTATTTTTCTTTCTAGAAAGACTGCATGTGGTAATGGAGAATCATAAACTATATATTCTTACAGCCAAAGTTAATAGGGTTAATAGTTTTATTTAATTACAATTGCACTTGTACAAATTGTACAAAGTCCCTCATAATACACTAAAAACTAGTTTTTACAGCCAGAGAGCTTTGTGCAAATAAACAGCTGAGTTAGGAGCACAACATGAAATGAATTATAGACAAGACTTGAATACACGGTCTGCTACAATATTGACTATCATGAGAAATTATTTTTTCATTCAGATTTCCTTATCTGATTTAAGAAATTTCAAATTTATACATTTTACTAACTTTTAACAAACAATAAATAAAACATATATACATAAATTTAGTATTACTCTTCTGGACTCCCTCCTTTTCTTGATGTCAACAGATCTTTTTAAAATAATGGTGGTCTAAAATATTTTAAGAGTATATTTCAAGTATTAAATTTAGAATACAAAAGTACTATAATTTAACTGGCTTTATTAATTAAACTACAAATAGGGTAAAACTCCATTACTCATTTGTAGCTCAATAATAACACACACACACACATAGAGAGTTATATTTATAAACAATCTGGGGTGAACTATCTTGAAATGCCTGACAGAAAGAAAGAAAGAACCTTTAGCAGGGTACTTGCGGAGGACAAAATACTCTATAAACGTCTATAAAAGGGGCACATGATATAGTAAAATACGTTCAAAGCTATGACAATGTGAAGGTAGAGGGTTTATATTTTACAGTCTGACTTGTCAGTCAATATCTTTAGTCTAAGCTTCTGATAGTTTGGCATCTGACAGTCTTAGAAGGGAATCACAAGAGAATTGGGGAGGATATGCATCATGTTACATGCATAAGTCAAGATTAAGAATTTATTTAAATATTTCCTTTTGTAAAATAAGACTAGTGGTACCCCTCAAGGGTTTGACTTGAAACTTATTGTTTATATCTGTTTATATTTCCAATTTTACTGATGATGATAAATTAAAAGAAAATCTCCCAAAACAGGAAACATCCCTCATATCTTTACAGCACATTGCATTATTAGATGACCACAAAATTGGTCAAGTTCCTCGTGCAATTTTATTCATACTAATAACCTACTATTAGTATAGAAACTGTGTAAAATAATTCATTGGACTGCCTGGCACACTTCTGACAATTCGTTTATAATGAACAGTGTTCAGGTTGGATATCAACAGCTTTAAAACATTTGATTTAACCTCTTTTGTATGGCTTTGTTGAAGTTTCAGTTTTTCTAGTGAAAGATATTTCCTTGTTGATTGCCACTGTTGGTAGATAGATGACTGAACAATCATATACAGAAATCATAAGTAACACTTGTTTGTTGAGCACCTACTATCATGTCCCTCTTGAAAGCTTACACAGAGCCTTATTGTTGCTGTTATCTTACATGCAGACTAACTGTAACATGATAGCTAATGCTAACATATAATCTGACATAATGCACAACTTGGTTCTTTTTCATCTGCAAGTACTTGGATTATTTGTTATACCTGTACAAGAGTGCATATGAAGTATCCAGTCAGTGTAGAATTAATTAACCCTTTCCAGACGGGTCACGGGGGAAAGGCCATGTCGTTGCATTTGTTGACTCGCATTCAAAATTTAATTGAACTACTATTTCTTGAATTTATGTCAGTAAGTTTGGTATCAAACTGTAGACTATAATACGAATTTTAGTATTATTCATTACTCAATTTCTTAATTTAAAATTAAATATTAAAAAAGCACAGTTAAACATTGATTTTTGTGTCATGTAGTATGTTGAATGCAGCACTGGTTCAAATTAGTTGTTTATGATGTCAAAATATTAAGTCTATAATTTTGTACGAATTAGGAACTCAAATTTCCTGTATTGACAAGCTAGAATATAAGATAAAAACCTCTTATATTTTCTTTAAGATTATTGCTCATGTAATGAATCAAACACAGTGGCACCCTGCCCATTTCTTTCCATTTTTGGAAACGCTTCCTTATATACACGTACTTCTATATATGACATGAACAACCAATCGAAAGCTCAGAATGTCACCCTAGTGGCTTTCTCAGCCATTTTAATGGGCTTGGATGCCATTTCTTTCTTTTGAACCAAGATTTCAAGGAGGTAGGGTGTCTTTAGTCTGCTCAAAATTTCATATTTTGTTGGATTAAATACATCTTAGTTACTAAACTTGATAAATTATAGCAGAATCCTATGAAACTGATGAAGTAATTTATGATTTTTTAGTTATTCAAATGTGTATATATATATATATATATATATATATATATATATAAT